TTTAGTATGACGTCCGTTTTCACTGAATACACTGCTGCACAAAAGGAATCCCAAAATGGCAGCCTTTACAATATATTTCCTCCAAAAGTGGGTAGGGAAAGCTTTGGAAATTTAAGGTACATACTGGAGTTTGATGCAGAATGATTCGCTTGCGTGAAACTCAATTGAGTCGGGTTTGTTTGAATGTTTGAACATGTTGAAAGTGTGAATTTTGTGGCATTGGGTTTAATTGGGGTTGACACTAGGATGTTGTGTTATCTGCTTCCCGGATAATTTTTGCAAATTTTGTTAAGGTAATTTGAATATCTCTTCTTGAATATCGTCTTCCGAAAATTCCTCTACAATTTTATCGTTGAGTTCCAAGATAACAGTTTCTTTCTTCAGTATCATTTCTCTGATTAACTTAAGTTCATTTGCATCGTATTCCTGTTATAACTCCTCGAAAATTGCGCTCAACCGTTTCAGTAATTTCGAGACTGCAACACGATATCCAGCTCGAATAGCTTTGAGTTTTCAATAATCTTTATTTATGTCACGGCACCAATATGACACACATGTATATTCTTATAAAGTAATAAAGAACGTCTCCACATAACGAAATCTTCATCTAAGCTACATAAGATCACAATATCGTCGGTAAGTAGCGACGTATAATATACGTTAAGACGTGTACCAATTATAAAAAAAGTCTATAATGAAAGAAAGTAATTTACAACAGTGACCATATTTCTATTCCCTTGTAATCCTTTGCGGCTGTTTGATTGTGAGATTGAAATCGTTCCTCCCATATGGCATCTGTTGATCTTGAACATTCCAGTAAAAGTTAGTTTTTACCACTTTGTCCCCCTATTTCCCATATTTTAAAGCCTTTCTTCATATCAATCTCGCTACGCTCACTCGACATTTAGCTTCATATTCTGGCTTGTGGTCTGATATTTTTTTATATTTGCATATCCACATCCAGATAACATTTTTATCATCTTTCAAAGTAATGTTTTTTTGCAAAATTTCCTTTTTTTTGTATTTTCGCAGGAATTGTGATTACTAGGCAACACACGTCATCAAAATATTAAATCGCGGATACACCTTATGGCAGAAATACGCAGGATAAAATATTCCCTTTAAATAGAGGAAGACAAAATGTTGCGTGTACATGATAATACTTATATGGGAGTAGAATATTTGAAGATGATACAGAAAGAAAAAAAATCGGATTATATTGAAAGATCGTATTATTTCAAAGCACTAGAAGAAGAAATTTCTGCTCGCTGACTGATAAATAACTTTTCAGCATACGCTTCAAAAAAATTAACCCAGAAACGAATTAAATTGCAATTTGTTTTCAAGTCTAAAAATACATATATATGTAAGGTGTCGTAAGTCATAAAGGATAAGTTCATTTGAGAAATACAGAGATTGGTAAATTGTTCTTGTATGTAAATGCCTCGACATCTCGCACCGTGTACCCGCCATTATTACGTGAGAAGACGTGGAAGGTAGGTGTATATATTTGTAACGACTACCCTTCTAAATTGCATGGGGAAAAATATATCTATGCATGGTATTCTAGTTAGGACAGCGGTTATGGAAGTACCATTTCCTTTAAGTGTGTGTTAACTTTGCCAAATGTTATCATTGAGGAAAACATATTTGGTTAAAACGTGTCAAACCCGTCTCCTCTATTGAATCATAACTTCATGTACTGATAAAAGAGCCAGATCATCATAATTTTTAAAATATAATACAACATTGCTTCGCTGAATACTGGTGGTTCATGTGCATTGATATATCATACTTTTTATGACTTTGGAGTCAAAATGAAAAGGTACAACATGCATACATAGGTTCTTTATCATTCTTGAAAAAAAAATGTATGCTTTCAGTGTATTCAACTAGGTAGCTCAGGGGTTAGAGCAGCTCTTTATGAGAAGGTCTTGTGTTCAAATCCTAACTTAGTTACACTAAAAAAGTAAATAAAATAAATGATCTTGTGACATGTTTTACATGTAGAAATCATTTAATATTTGGCCCACATCTGTCTATCTCATATGAATTATCAATGTACATGTAGCCAATATTTTTGACTTCTACATATTTTCACAAGAAAAACATTAAATTGTGACTTTTTGTGGAATATTTCAGGACACCAATTCAATATGCAGTGAACATGATACTAAATCTGTGCTCCATATTTCATGAAACAATTGTTTTACAAACAATTGGAGAAACATTGGTACATGTAATTCAGGCTCAAATAGTTTGACATTAGTGATATGTGCTTTCAGTGTATTTATCTAGGTAGCTCAGGGGTCAGAGCAGCTCTTAATGAGAAGGTCTTAGGTTCAAATCCTAACCTAGTTACACTGAAAAAGTTTCAGACAATAAATGAACTTGTGACGTGTATTAAAAATCATTTAATATTTCAATATTTTGGACATATCTGTCTACCCAATGTTGATTCTCATTGTACATTTTGTACATGTAGCCAATATCCTTCATTTCTATCAATTTTCACCACAATAACTTTAAATTGTGACTATTATGGGAATATATAAATGTATCATTACAAGATGTATAGATATCGTAAAATATTAGTCGCTCGACACAATGTGAACTTTTTTTGTTCGTTTGCTGCGCTCACACGCCAAAAAAGGATCATATTGTCGCTCGCAGCTGATATTTTATGATATCAGTATGAAGAAAAGCTGGTAATGTATACATGAAACTTGAAAATCATAAAAACCACGCTAGGTAAACATTAAATAAATATATTGATATCAGTTCAATTGCAGAAGGTTTTAACAAAGTATTTAAAATTATTGTTTTTATATTGATGCATAAATGAAATAAAAAAATATAGAAAAATCCAATGTTCATGAATAGTTCAAGCTTTAGTTATCGCTATCGCTGTCAATAATGCAAGGACGTTTTCGTTCGTTAACTTTGTTCAAGTTGTTGTTATCAGAGGGTTGCTGATCGGATGATGTTCCATTGTTGAAAGTAAAGTTGAAATTTCCACCATGGAAGGTTGCATTCGTAAAAAGACCACTCATTGCAGGATGCAAGTTAGGTAAATTAAGATTCCCATGATAGATAGACTGATTACAGTTATTGTTTCGACAGGTTTAGTATTTTTTTTTTACAGTTTGATATTGTTGGATGATTTGATGGGTTACTTGTTGATAGCATTAATGATATTGTTCTGCTGCTCTAACTCTAAGCTAGTGTTTGAATATGATAAGAAACTGTTCACATTTTTATGTCCTGTCCTTTAAACGATTTCAGTGTCCTGAACACCTGCATCTTTTTGTTTTTGTATTGACCCCTTTACTTGAACTGTGACCTGTGAGCCTCTTGTCGTTTTTAGACAGTGCTGTAGTTGCCATACTTTTTATTATTTAGATATACATTTTGTATCAAGTCTTTGACCTTTGCACCACAGTAACTTTGCTCCATATTTGTCATCTTGGAATGTTGTAGCTGGTATGTAAATGGGGGAATCGTCTTTTTTCATTGTTTCTGGTCTTTTCTGTCTTAAATGTTTACGCAAATACTGGACATCGCGTGAGATCGTTCTTGTCCTCCATGGCAATGGGTCATGCTCTCCGTAAATTGGAGATTCTCACCCTGCTTTGTTTTAATTTGGCGTTAACGGCAATACTGGAGATATTCATCGCCATGTGTGTCTACCTTCAATGTGATATCCCCAACATAAATGTAATGTTCTGTAACTCCTCGTAGACCAAAGTGGTAGTTATTATTTATATATATTGTATTTATTAGAGTGCGTAAACTAGTAAGACCCTTTAGATTTTTAGACTAAAACTGTTTATATCATCATCTGTTAATGAGTCAGCGGCATTTAGGTTATTTCCTAATCCAAGCGACTTTACATTTTTAAATTTTGCACTCAATGTTTGGCGGCTTTTGTAAAATTCATCATCGGTCATGATGTTCAATTAGTACCGACTGATAATTTGATGAATAGATTTATTTAGATAGACTTGACCGATGTTGGTTCGTACTCCATTGTACCATTTGTTTTCTTTCTTTTTTTGCACTAATGAAAAAGAATCCCAAATGACGGTCTCACTCCTGAGGAGAGATTTCATCAATATTTTTTTGTTTCATTGTGTTTTGTTTTCATATATGATTTGAAGATATTTAGATCAAATTTGGTTTTTTTTTTAGGCATTTTTGCTTTCTTGTTCCTTTATGAATGATTCATAAATAAGTCATTTCGGGACCTTTTATAGCTGACTATGCGATATGGGTTGTGCTCATTGTTAAAGGCCGTACGGTGACCTATAGTTGTTAATTTCTGTGTCATTTGGTCTCTTGTGGAGAGTTGACTCATTGGCAATCATACCGCATCTTCTTTTTATATCATACAGAATGCATACTGAAACAAAACAAATATTTATAAAAAGATATATGCAATCTTCATTTGTCACTAGTTTCCTTATGTTATTCTGTTTTAAGCAATGTGCATAGACAAACGAATGACATCTAGGTGAAAGTGGTGTCAAATATAAGTATTTTAGAAATAACAATAAAGAAAACTAACAGTCCTGCCAGTTCTCAATTATACATATTTTTATTATGGAATAGATAGCCTTAGAATGTGGAGGCCACTCTGGACTGGGTTGCTCAAAACGCTTGTTAAATTTAACCACTGGATTGCTTATCCATAGGCTAAACTAGATATTCATTTGATTGCTATCCGCTGGTTAATTATGAATTTTGATATCATTCGGAGTAAGCAAAGAAATAGTGTTACTAATGAAAAGAAATGAATGGTTTTGAAAGAAATTACAGAAAAAAATCAATGCCCGGATAGACGGTCAGATAAAAACGGTAGATCAGGTAAACGAGAAAGGGAGAAAAGAATGCTCGAAGGCAAAACTGGACATGAATCAGTCCATCAAAAGTCATCAGAAGACCGGTGGAGGGCCAACAGAACATATTTGGATGACTGTACACAAAAATTATCAACCTACACAGTGATGCTCCAAACTTTGTTGGAATCAGAGGAGGAATTGATGTTGGAGTAGATTTATCATCTTTAATCATGTTAATGACAGGTAAAATTGTGCCCAATTCCGTCATTGTTTTTAAATTTTATTATTTTTGATAATCTCCCTTTATCTCAGCAAAATATCACTCACATGATTGATTTTCATCAGGATAGTAGTATTTCTTAATTAGTTTGCTCAATATAATGTTCGAGGATCTATATTCATGCATGCAGCAGGGTGACAGGGGGCATTTTCTTTTATAAAAATAAGGAGATGTGGTATGATTGCCAATGAGACAACTATCCATCAAAGTTAAAATGAAGTAGATATAAGCTATTGTAGGGAATCGTAAGGCCTTCAACAATGAGAAAACCCTTCATTTCTATATTTCTTAAATTTTTAGGCCATTTTTCTTTATTCTTTATACTTTTTGCCCATTATTGTCTATTCTTTATACTTTTTGCCAATTCTTCTCTATTCTTTATATTTAAGCACCTCATTGTTCTCTATTCCCTATTTTTTTGGTCCATTTTTCTCTATTCTTTATATTGTTTTGCCCGTTATTCTCTATTCTGTAAACCCCATCATCACCCTGATGTAGGTCCTGTCGATAGTGATTTGAGCGTACTTTTTTTCAAAACTGAGATTAAGGCTTCCCAATCAGATTTTCGCTTTTATTATTATTTTTTAAAGATAATATTATGAAATAAACATGTGGTGCAACAACTTGAGTGCTAGTTATCACTCTTGTTAGAGGAGTCTTGGGCAGACAAAATTTCGACGAGAACTTGACTTACCTTTATTTTTTGATTGATTGATTAGTGTTTAACGTCACTGTCAACACTACTGTGCTTTTTCATGCCGGTCATTTTTTATATACTTTAACCAGAATAAACATTTGTAATACGAGAAATATAAATTTGCTTCCTTCTATTCGACAAAAAGAAATTTATAACAATAACTTTTAAAAATAGTGTCAGTACATCTGTTCTGATAGGAGAAATATTCATGAGTATAAGCTAATATATAAGTTCGAGCTGATACGACTACTACTATAACGTAGAAGGGTGTATTTAGGGGGGGGGTGCCTTGTTAAGTCATCGGAGAATGCTTAAAAATAAAAAAAAACATAAATATGTAAAATATCTACGATAAAAGTAGAGTAAATGCAAATTTAAAGTCACCTAAAGGAAACTTTAAAAATGAAGCAAAAAATATTAAGGATTTGAAAATGTTTGTTACAGTTGTTACATTTTGTGTTTCCAAACAACATACTGAATTGAAAACATGTTGCTTTAAAAAAAAAAAAAGTCAATACGTGAACCTTAGAACTTTTTATGCAGATTATTATTTCAACTGAATTGTAAATTATATCTCAGTATTTTCATTACCATGTGTGTGGAGGATAATATTTTCTTTTTATTGTAAATCAGGACAATTATGGCATGTTGAGAGTGGTGTTAAATATAAAGTAGGGAGATAAGGAATGTTTTAATTTCAATAGTTCATTTCTGGATGGTGTTAGCTTTTATTTTTAAAATACATATTTCAGAGGAAGTACGATATTGTTTCATAAAATGTGAAAGTTAAATTCCTACCAAATGAGACAAAATCTACTTGCTTACAATTTTATTTGTGTCGTAAAATCCCGTTCCACCTTAGAAATGGGTTTGGATCCAGCTAATACATTCAATTTGCTGCTTATACATGTATATTTAATATACCTGTCCAAATCCGGAGCCTCTTTTTTTGTTTCCTTATTATCGTGTCTGTTTTTCGTTTTTTTGTTTTTTTTTGTATAAAAATATTGCCATTGATTTATATCTTGTACAACACTGGTCAATTTGATGTCATTTAGCTCGCTTTGCTAAAACTCAACATTCAACGCCATGTTTATTGAAATGTTCTCTCATTGGCAAGGTAGTTTACCAATTATTATATAATCATATCAGTCGCAGGTTAATTCGATTATTATGAAATGTGGTTCCTTAAATCAACATACGTATTAAATCTCAAAACTTTACACTGTTTATTTGCTAACTTATGTTTGTTGCCTATAATTCAGAAATTAAACAGTGTTTTGGGATTTTTTTGCTTAAAGATAACTTTTTAAGCATTGGTCCCTTTTCAAAAGTCTCCCAACTACTACCTCATATGTGAACTTAAGTATAGAGGAAATTTTGTTCGCTATGTTAAAGAAATCTTCTACTTGCTCTATTTTGCATGTGAAGACCATAACACCGTTATCTCTATATTGACAGTGTAATTTGATGTTTTCTTTCAATTTGAACTTGTCTAAGATATTTATTAATAGGACAGACAGATGCAGATATGTGCATGATGGTGAAAATATACCACATATGGAGGGGGCGCTCCTATAACTTGTTTGTATAACTTTCCATTAAACTCAAATTTATTGTTTCTTAGAATTAATTAACAAATGCAGTTTAATCTTTTTTGTTGAGAATCTTGAAAGGATATTCTTTTGTGTCAATTAATTCTTCTGCATTGAAAACTGTTTCTTTTAAATTATCAATGATCATATTTGTGTATATTTACGTTTCATCATAGGCAATAAGAATGCATTCCCTTTTTACCTCGTGTGTTTTATTAGTGAAATCTTGTGTATCTTGAACTTAAAAGTTATGCCTCTACAAAAATGGTTTTTATATTAGATCATTTAATCTCTCAATGCGTCTCGTGGTAGAGTTACATTTATTGATGATCAGTTGTAACGAACATTAATTAATGTCTCCTACTAGTTGACCATTACCCAATGCCTCATTAATTATTTCTAGATTAATTTAATGAATTTTTGAAAGACTGATGTACATGTGTCCATGTTTTGAATCATTATTTTTCTTTAAGAATTAATCGTATTGGAATCTATTTCTATTTTTTTCTATATAAATTATCAACTATATCTTTTATTACCATATAGCATATAAGTGAGGTTAAGCGATCTGTGTAAAGTTCTTTATTGCCAAGTTTTAGATATCTTAAATGATCCGTATGGAGGTGCTCTTAATTGCAGTAAGCTAATACAGGTAAGAAATATAAATGTTCCGAATGAACAATAATTAGGGTTCCGAACATTCCTCTGTAAACTATATTTCTAACTAATTAATATGCGCAAAAAGTTTTATAAGCATTAAAAAAAAATCACATAACGGTAAAGTTAAATGTCATAGTTTTCATTTTTTTTTTCCAAAAAAACCTTAGAATTATTGAAATCTATTTAAACAAGAACGAAATACATATTAAGTACAGGGTTGAAGCATTTATTTTATACCTTAAAGTAAAACGTGAACCTATTAGAAGGCATAGCAACGTGTATTTACATTTCAAAAAGAAAACTATGGATTCATTTACCAGAATCAGAGTGAGCGGAGTGAAAGAGGTTGGTATGAAAGTGTGTATGATCGTGTAAAATTTTGTAATGTCTAAAAGATTCCTGTGATTAGGAAACAAAAATTTTGATTGGAATTTATGCATAATATACCAATAGTTAATACTAAATATATGCTCGACAATAGGTCCTTTAATCGGAATAAAAAAAGTATTCGTATACAACTTTACTATTTGTACCTATTTAAACCATTGTGGTGACGTTAGCCTATTCATTTACCGTGGATTCTTTTTCTAGAATCAACGCTTCCTAAATCTACCGCTGAAATGGACTCACCAAATTATATTCAATTGTTTCCTTTGTGTGTCTAATTTCATTAAGTTTGAATTGGCTAATTTACTGATTTCTGTTCACTAATGGAATTAATTTAAAAACTTACCTTTAATTTTTGTAATTTGTATATGCCTTCACTGGGAATCGAACCCTTCCTTGAAATCTGTTATGAATGACTGACATCAACACATCGACGAAACCTCTCGGCTACCAATGGGTTACAACTTAGATGTCTATTTTATATATATAAATGAACATCGGACACACTGTGGTTGTACCTTTATATATACACAATGGGCAGTCGTATAGTATAAGTTGGTAGCCGCGAGGTTAGCATGCTTAAAGTCAACGAGTTAAACGATAGGGATTTGTCGGTTAAGGTTCGAATCCCTGTATTATCTCTGTTGTCCCAATTCTTTTTTTTTTCTAATTTTGCATGTTACAGTGGATATTTTTGTAATAATAGCGAGTTTTACCGTTTATCTTTTGGATTATTATTGGCTATTTCACATGTTTGAAACAAAAATGATTACATTCTATTTGTCAATTTCTGTTGTATAAATATAGTATGATTTCATCTGTTTTACTACATAATTTTACAAATGTTTGTTCGCAAATTCCTATGCGAGAAAGTCGTGATGTGCCTAGAGTGCTAGAAATTTCGGTAACATACTTATTATGTATACTTTATATATGCTCTTTGGTCGGGTTGTTGTCTCTTTGACACATTCCCCATTTCCATTCTCAATTTTATTAGAAATAAGTTCGAAAATGTCGTATTTTGTAAAAACAGATAATATTCAGAAGCCTGATAATATAAAGATCTTTAAAGGTAGAAGTGTTATATTTGTATGTTGTTAACCAATTAATTGTGATCTGAGATTTATCAATGCATCGTTGGACACGATAACATGGTTATTTAAACTCACTTACAATACCTTCTAATTAAGAAAAGGCTTTAATTTTGAAAAGAAATTAACACAATAGTTTAAGTTATAGATACAATGGATAAGCGTAGATTCATGAAAAACAAACCATTCGCCCTCCGGGCTCATGGTTTCTTTTTCAAGAATCCACGCTTATCCATTGTATCTATATTACAGAATAAATGAGTGCAAAAGTAATAGCTTCTTTAAACTGATCATACTTTAAATGATTACCTCTATGTTCACAAACACCCTGCATGTTGATGAGATGAAAGCCTTTCCGGTTTACAAATGCATACTCATCTCTCCGGATAGGGACAGAAGTCTCACATAAGTGCAATCAATAACACCTGGAAATTGTGCAATTTGATAAAACCTTTCTGTGATTCACTTTTTTTTAGCAGGTAACGTTGACCACTTAATGAATTTATTTGCAACTCCACATAA